GCGTGTCCGTATTACTGTGACTAAAATACAGCGTGTCCGTATTACTGTGACCAAAATACAGCGTGTCCGTAATACTGTGACCAAAATACCTTGTGTTCGTAGTGCTGTGACCAAAATACCTTGTGTCCGTATTACTGTGACCAAAATACCTTGTGTCCGTATTACTGTGACTATAATACTTTGTGTCCGTATTACTGTGACTAAAACACCATGTGTCCGTATTACTGTGACCAAAATACCTTGTGCCCGTATTACTGTGACCAAAATACTTTGTGTCTGTATTACTGTGACCAAAATACCTTGTGTTCGTATTACTGTGACTAAAATACCTTGTGTTCGTATTACTGTGACTAAAATACCATGTGTCCGTATTACTGTGACCAAAATACTGTGTGTTCATATTACTGTGACCAAAATACCTTGTGTTCGTATTACTGTGACCATAATACCTTGTGTTCGTATTACTGTGACTAAAATACCACTTTGTGTTCGTATTACTGTGACTAAAATACCTTGTGTTCGTATTACTGTGACCAAAATACCTTGTGTTCGTATTACTGTGACTAAAATACCACTTTGTGTTCGTATTACTGTGACCAAAATACTTTGTGTCCGTATTACTGTGACCAAAATACCTTCTGTCCGGATTACTGTGACAAAAATAACTTGTGTTCGTATTACTGTGACTAAAATACCACTTTGTGTTCGTATTACTGTGACCAAAATACCGTGTGTTCGTATTACTGTGACCAAAATACTTTGTGTTCGTATTACTGTGACCAAAATACCTTGTGTTCGTATTACTGTGACTAAAATACCGCTTAGTGTTCGTATTACTGTGACCAAAATACCTTGTGTTCGTATTACTGTGACTATAATACCTTGTGTTCGTATTACTGTGACTATAATACCTTGTGTTCGTATTACTGTGATCATAATACCTTGTGTTCGTATTACTGTGACCAAAATATCTTGTGTCCGTATTACTGTGACCAAAATACTTTGTGCCCGTATAAATAAGACTATAAAACCTTGTGCCTGTATTACTGTGACTATAATACCACTTTGTGTTCGTATTACTGAGACTATAATACCTTGTGTTCGTATTACTGAGACTATAATACCTTGTGTTCGTATTAATGAGACTATAATACCGTGTGCCTGTATTACTGTGACTATAATACCTTGTGTTCGTATTACTGAGACTATAATACCTTGTGTTCGTATTACTGAGACTATAATACCTTGTGTTCGTATTACTGTGACTATAATACCTTGTGCCTGTATTACTGTGACTATAATACCTTGTGCCCTTATTAATGAGACTATAATACCTTGTGCCTGTATTACTGTGACTATAATACCTTGTGCCTGTATTACTGTGACTATAATACCTTGTGCCCGTATTAATGAGACTATAATACCCTGTGCCTGTATTACTGTGAATATAATACCTTGTGCCTGTATTACTGTGACTATAATACCTTGTGCCTGTATTACTGTGACCATAATAACTTGTGCCCGTATTAATGAGACTATAATACCTTGTGTCCGTAATACTGTGACTATAATACCTTGTGCCCGTATTAATGAGACTATAATACCTTGTGCCTGTATTACTGTGACTATAATACCTTGTGCCTGTATTACTGTGACTATAATAACTTGTGCCCGTATTAATGAGACTATAATACCTTGTGCCTGTATTACTGTGACTATAATACCTTGTGCCTGTATTACTGTGACCATAATAACTTGTGCCCGTATTAATGAGACTATAATACCTTGTGTTCGTATTAATGAGACTATAATACCTTGTGCCTGTATTACTGTGACTATAATACCTTGTGTTCGTATTAATGAGACTATAATAACTTGTGCCCGTATTAATGAGACTATAATACCTTGTGTTCGTATTAATGAGACTATAATACCTTGTGTTCGTATTAATGAGACTATAATACCTTGTGCCTGTATTACTGTAACCATAATAACTTGTGCCTGTATTACTGTGACTATAATACCTTGTGCCTGTATTACTGTGACTATAATACCTTGTGCCTGTATTACTGTGACTATAATACCTTGTGCCCGTATTACTGTGACTATAATACCTTGTGCCTGTATTACTGTGACTATAATACCTTGTGCCCGTATTACTGTGACTATAATACCTTGTGCCTGTATTACTGTGACTATAATACCTTGTGCCTGTATTACTGTTACTATAATACCTTGTGCCTGTATTACTGTGACTATAATACCTTGTGCCTGTATTACTGTGACTATATTACCGTGTGCCTGTATTACTGTGACTATAATACCTTGTGCCTGTATTACTGTGACTATATTACCGTGTGCCTGTATTACTGTGACTATATTACCGTGTGGCTGTATTACTGTGACTATAATACCTTGTGCCTGTATTAATGAGACTGTAATACCTTGTGCCCGTATTAATGAGACTATAATACCTTGTGTTCGTATTACTGTGACTATAATACCTTGTGCCTGTATTACTGTGACTATAATACCTTGTGCCTGTATTAATGAGACTATAATACCTTGTGCCCGTATTAATTTGACTATAATACCTTGTGTTCGTATTACTGAGACTATAATACCTTGTGCCTGTATTACTGTGACTATAATACCTTGTGCCTGTATTACTGTGACTATAATACCTTGTGCCTGTATTACTGTAACTATAATACCTTGTGTTCGTATTACTGTGACTATAATACCTTGTGTTTGTATTACTGTGACTATAATACCTTGTGCCTGTATTACTGTGACTATAATACCTTGTGCCTGTATTACTGTGACTATAATACCTTGTGTTCGTATTAATGAGACTATAATACCTCGTGCCTGTATTACTGAGACTATAATACCTTGTGCCTGTATTACTGAGACTATAATACCTTGTGCCTGTATTACTGTGACTATAATACCTTGTGCCCGTATTACTGAGACTATAATACCTTGTGTCCGTATTACTGTGACTATAATACCTTGTGCCCGTATTAATGAGACTATAATACCTTGTGCCTGTATTACTGTGACTATAACACCTTGTGCCTGTATTACTGAGACTATAATACCTTGTGTTCGTATTAATGAGACTATAATACCTTGTGCCTGTATTACTGAGACTATAATACCTTGTGCCCGTATTACTGTGACTATAATACCTTGTGCCCGTATTACTGTGACTATAATACCTTGTGTTCGTATTAATGAGACTATAATACCTTGTGTTCGTATTAATGAGACTATAATACCTTGTGCCTGTATTACTGTGACTATAATACCTTGTGTTCGTATTAATGAGACTATAATACCTTGTGCCTGTATTACTGTGACTATAATACCTTGTGCCTGTATTACTGTGACTATAATACCTTGTGTTCGTATTAATGAGACTATAATACCTTGTGCCCGTATTAATGATACTATAATACCTTGTGTTCGTATTACTGAGACTATAATACCTTGTGTTCGTATTAATGAGACTATATTACCGTGTGCCTGTATTACTGTGACTATAATACCTTGTGTCTGTATTACTGTGACTATAATACCTTGTGTCCGTATTACTGTGACTATAATACCTTGTGCCCGTATTACTGTGACCATAATACCTTGTGCCCGTATTACTCTGACTATAATACCTTGTGTCCGTATTACTGTGACTATAATACCTTGTGCCCGTATTAATGAGACTATAATACCTTGTGTTCGTATTAATGAGACTATAATACCTTGTGCCTGTATTACTGTGACTATAATACCTTGTACCCGTATTACTGTGACTATAATACCTTGTGCCTGTATTACTGTGACTATAATACCTTGTGCCTGTATTACTGTGACTATAATACCTTGTGCCTGTATTACTGTGACTATATTACCGTGTGCCTGTATTACTGTGACTATAATACCTTGTGCCTGTATTAATGAGACTATAATACCTTGTGCCCGTATTAATGAGACTATAATACCTTGTGCCCGTATTAATGAGACTATAATACCTTGTGTTCGTATTAATGAGACTATAATACCTTGTGTTCGTATTAATGAGACTATAATACCTTGTGCCTGTATTACTGTGACTATAATACCTTGTGTTCGTATTAATGAGACTATAATACCTTGTGTTCGTATTACTGTGACTATAATACCATGTGCTCATATTACTGTGACTATAATACCTTGTGCCTGTATTACTGTGACTATAATACCTTGTGCCTGTATTACTGTGACTATAATACCTTGTGCCTGTATTAATGAGACTATAATACCGTGTGTTCGTATTAATGAGACTATAATACCTTGTGCCTGTATTACTGTGACTATAATACCGTGTGTTCGTATTAATGAGACTATAATACCGTGTGCCCGTATTACTGTGACCAAAATACCGTGTGCTGTGACCATATTTCCGGCGTCCAAATTTCCTGTGGCCAACTTACCTACAACCTATTTTTATGTAATATAAAGAATCACGTTTGTATCTTAACTTATGCTTAACTAAAATATTTTCAATAATTTCATACGATTTGTTTTTAATAAATCATTTATAAGAATGCTTTGTGAATTCGTTAATAAGTTCTGCACATTATAATAACAGTTTGACGTTTATGGTAATTAGTGTATGTAAAACATATTCCCGCCTACGCCACAACTGCTGCGTTGTTGTTGTTTTCTTAATGTGTCCGAGTGCTTTTACTGAGTGATTTTTTTTTATGAGACATGGGACCCAGACTTCTCCCATGTTCGACGATATATCATACCACCTGTGTAGATAAAGTGGAAATGGATGATTTTATTTTCCTGGGCACCAAATTTCATAGTTTTCTCCTCAGTAGCATAATCGTGAAAACGTAAATTGGGGATTCCTAAAGTATTTTTGTTTGCACAAGACTTACTATTCAGTTGGGAAGGGGTCTATTGCAGTGAAGGAGTAAAACACGTGTCTTAATAAAATAACAACAACTGGCTGTATGTATATATATATATACAATTTCATTGTGAAATCAATATGTCAGTAAGACAGTATATTATTAAATCAATATTCTCTAATCAGATAACATTTTCTCTCTCGTCTTCTTTTATAACTTACGCGATTTACTCATCGCCTGAAAAATAAATATAATATATATATATATAGGTAGAGAGGAGCAAAATCTATTTAAGGGATGTGAAGAGGTTTTCTAAATATTTTATGTGTATTGGGGACAATTAAAGCATCAATTTGCACCATTCAGACATCTATGGTTCCTGCAATTCCATTAAAACTAAGTGTTTGATGATGTTGCTAATGGCAAGGGTCTCATGTGATAAAGCATATTTTGTGACTACCCATGTAACTCTATCACCTACCTGTATCATGGTAGATCCTAACTGAGCAGGCGACATGGTCACTTCTACTCCTGCTTCCCTCAGTGCCTCAATTTTATCTTCAGCTCCTCCCTTACCCCCAGCAATAATAGCTCCTGCATGCCCCATTCTTCTCCCGGGAGGTGCAGTCACACCAGCAATAAATGAGACTACAGGCTTTGCATTATCACCCTGCAAGAGACAAAATAAAATATATTAAGAAATTCTTAGTGTATCCAGTCCAGCAAAAGTATTCATGTACATCCAGAAGACAAGCCATAAATATAGTCCACTACACTTTGTTTTGGGGGTGTGGAAATGAGATTGGTGTTATTTGAATCTGATCAATCAGAACGGTAGAACGGAAATGAGGTCATGTAAAAAAGAAAAATATCACTTTGCCACCGCTCATTTGAAGATATAAGAAAACATTCTTTCCAAATAAATAAGTAAGGTTTGATTTTCTCTCGGGTTCAATTCTCTAACGAAAATCTTTCTCAATTCTTTAATCAAAATATGTAATGGCAAGCTGCTTTACGTTCGCAAACAAAGCGTCATAACAGGTGATTTGTTTTGTTCGGCTGAAATTTACTACCATTAAAGAAAGGGCCATTTTTGATTGGACAATATTTAGCTATGAATATGTCTACATAGAATGACATATATAATTCCAGTATAAAACGGTATAAATTCTGATGTCAAAAATATCTAACATGTGGATTAGGGTTGAAGGCGGTAGAAGGATATACAAATGTAATAAGGGACAGCAATAATGTAACCATACAAACTGGGGCTGCAACTATTATTGATTAAGTGATCTGATATTCATTAAACGATTCAATATATTGAAATAAGTATCACGATTCATTTATTAGGTAAGGACTGAGAAAATAGCAGAATTTTGCCATGAATCAAGAAGTAAAGAATTGTGATAGAGCATTTGAATTTGAAACTTGGCGAATAAGAGCCAGTAGATATAACAGGATCCTTATATAATCCAATAAATCCAAAAAACTTAGTAATTATCCATAAATATACAATTAACTATTGAAAAACGCTTAATATCATGATTAAGGGTTTTTCGTTTGTGAATTTTCCAATTTTCCAGATTTTACATAGATTCTGTTGTAACTTTATGATACCAGGTAAGTTCACTGATGAATATATATTCATATTGACCATTTCGCAAATTCAATTTGATGTTCATTCTAAGATGTAGTATCACTTTAATAATCAAATCATGACAAACACAAGGATTCTGTGTCATTGTTATTAAAAGGGGCTAATAAATAATTGCAGGGCATTTTTTTTTTTTTTTTTTTTTTTTTTTCTTCATTCCGGGAGCTCAGTTCTCGGAAACAGCAACAGTTATGGAAAAACGGATTTCGCCACACTTTCTAACTCGTGGCTAACTGCGTACTGAATGTAAAACGAAAATTTTCTGAGCAACACGAAGCAACGTTAGCAACAAACAGAAAGTGGGCTCTAGTGGGCGTAATTATTGACCGATTTTGCTAGGGTTTCCTTTATTCTACTTCTTATAACAATGGACACATGATGGCAGTTGAAAAAATTTGATTTTCGCAAATTAGTTCGATACTTTTTCTTGTCGAAATTAATCGAAATATGCTATTTGTCGGACAGATTTGAAACTTATACAGTGTAGACAGCCAGCATGGGGGAATAAAAAAATGCATTCAAAATTTTTGCATCACTTCCGGTTTCGAAGTTAGTACTTCCGGTGACGTCACTTCCATTGGAATTGAGTTATGCCCAAACTAACATATGCATGATATTAGTGTCATTAATACAAACCTATTAAACTAAAAAAATACTTACCGGAAGTAATAATTAGGCCGCCATTTTGGTTTGCCTCATTTTGCGAAAATTCCTATGCAGAAGCCATTTTTTAACCGATTTGTGTCATTTTTGTGTCAAACGATACTATAAATGTTTGTCTAAAATTCGTGGGAAGCAAAATTTTGATTTTCGGTTTTGCCTTTTTTATACGAACGGATGTTTTTTTTCAAAGTTAGAAGTCGTATATCCTGTGACCTTGACCTTTGATGACCTTCATATTAACTGTGATGATAATTTGTGACTTTGTCTATCTGATGACCTTTTGACCTTTGGGGTCAGACAACTCTTTCCCATTTTATAGGGGTCTAAATATGGACCATTTGGAGCCTTTAAAGTGCTATATCTCAGTCCCTAATAGAGATATGGCAATAATTCTTTCGATTTTGTAATGTAGAGATTCTGAGCTTTCCATAGATATAATACATGCATACCTTACATGCAAATTCAAAACTCCATTCACTTAACATGGGGTTATTATTAGATAAATAGGCTAATTAGATTAACCTGGCTGTCAACCCCAATAGAAATCAAAGTTTTAGTTGATTAAAGATACCCTCCGTTTTATATTTGTTTTATATGACTGTTTTATGGCCAGTTGTGGTATATAAATAAGCTCTCGGGTGGATTGAACCATGCTATACTGTAAGTTGAGCTTACAGAAGCACATTAAAGGGATACCCCCACTTAATTTACCAACTTTCTTATTTCTTATCCGATTTTCATCAAACTTGGTATGTATGTGTATAATCCAATTCTAAATTTGATGGAAATATTGAATTTTTGTTGTGCGCATGCGCATTGCCAACTTTCTTATTTCTTATCCGAATTTCACCAAATTTGGTATGTATGTGTATAATCCACTTCTAAATTTGATGAAAATATTGAATATTTGTTTTGCGCATGCGCATTACCTACTTTCTTATTTCTTATCCGAATTTCACCAAATTTGGTATGTATGTGTATAATCCAATTCTAAATTTGATGGAAATATTGAATTTTTGTTGTGCGCATGCGCATTACCAACCTTCTCATTTCTTATCCAAATTTAATCAAACGTGCTAGGTATGTGTATAATCCAATTAAAAATTAGATGGAAATATCGAATTTGTAATGTGCGCACGCGCATTGCCACATTTCTTATTTCTTATCCGGATTTCATCAAACTTGGTCTTTATTAATTGACAAACATTCTTTTATTCCTAGTCAATATACTTTAAACTCCAAGCACTTTTGGACATTTGCATTTAGAGATGCAGAAAAAGTATTTACATCAATGTAATTGCAATAGACCATCTCCGTATGTACCTGAATGTCGTAACCCGCCCTGCATCAGTACTGTTATTAGAACAGTTCTAGTTATGATTTTTATCAAACGCAATGCATTAAAAAGAATCGCGATTTATCATCAGTGAAATGTTACAGCCTTAATACAAATACATACCCTGTTATTGTTTCTAAGATATTCAGCTGCTTTTTCTTCTGCTTGACCTCCAATTTCACCAATTAACACAATACCTGAATTTATAATCAATAATAATTAATTTCAACTGTTGAATCCAGACTGGCTCTTTTTAAAACCAAACGTAATTCTGTGCCTTAACTTAATGTAAGCTACGTAGGGATTATAAAGAGGTTTTTCTAGATTTTTATTGTGTATCAGGGACACTGCTAGCATCGATTTGCTCCATTCCAAGTTTCAATCAGATGTTTGGGATTCCTGCAATTCCACTAAAATTGGAGTGTCTAACTGCCAGGCAAGGTAATATACGTCCACTGGCAGCTTTGATTTTAAATAAAAATATTTGGCAGTAAAGTAACAATTACCAGTCTTACACTTCTTTTGAACGATACTGTATACCAAGTTTCGTCAATATCTGTCAAGATATGGGCCTTCTAGAGAGTTTACAAGCTAAAACTTAAACACATTTTTAAGAACAAGGGCAATAACTCATACTAAATATTTTTAGATTTTTCTGATTTTCAATAGGGTTCATCCTTGGGTGATTACAAACAATCATACCAAGTTTCGTCAAAATCAGTCAAGAATTGTGCCCTCTAGAGTGTTTGCGTTCAATTGTGAATGGATGGACGGACGTAGGTGAAGAAAATATACGCCCCCTATTTCATGTGGGGGTATAAAAAGTTAAAAACTATACCATACCATCAGTGCCAGGGTCGGCTAAAAATACTTCTAAACAATCTATAAAGTTAGTTCCATTGAAAGGATCTCCACCAATACCAACACATAAACTCTGACCCAATCCTTTTTCTGTTGTCTGATGTACAGCTTCGTATGTTAAAGTTCCAGATCTTGACACAATACCTACAATCAATCAAACAGTCTCTTATGTTCGACAGAAGGGCCTTGGTGTAAGATAGAAAGAATCAAACAGGGCCTTGGTGTAAGATAGAAGGAATCAAACAGTCCCTGATGTAAGATAGAAAAAATCAAACAGGGCCCTGATGTAAGATAGAAGGAATCAAACAGTCCCTGATGTAAGATAGAAGGAATCAAACAGGGTCTTGATACAGGGATCAAAGTGAGGAACGAAAAAAATAAAGAGAAAATGGAAAATATCAGCTGATGGTAAAGATGGCCACAGACTCTCATGTGAGGTATAGGGGGAGATTTAACCATTTTAAGTTGCTTTGAAAGTCATTTCCCTCACAGAAATCTTTTCATTCCTAAAACTAAATTTTAAAAGGTTTTATTCAAAAATAAAAAAAATACCAACAGCCAGAAAAATAGAGGAATTCCTATAAAAACTGTGCCACTTGAATAGTAACTTGTTACCTTTCAACCAACCTAACTTCTATATCCACTAAATCCAATATTGCTTTGCCCTGTTTAACTATTTCACCTCATGATGACAATGTAAATTGTTGAAACATTGTGAACAATAAAGTTCAGGAATAGAATACTTGTTATTTAATAATGTCAAATTAATTTAAATTAAAATTATTTATTTGATTAGTTGATGTTTCTAATGAATTATCATGTATTCTTAATCAATTCATTATGTTCTTATTGCATATAATTAAGAGTTTTAACCAATCATAAATGTCCATGTATGTACAGTCTGGATAAACAAAAAAAAAAGACTCTTTAACCATTCTTGATCAGTCATCCATTGGAATTTTGATGGTAATTCTCTTCTAATTTATGTGAGACAAACTGGTATTTTTCCAAGTCATAAGAACATCTCTACTTTATATTCATATAAGTATTAGCATTTTCATTTTCATAAATGAATATAAGGGAACCCATCTTTAAATGGAATGAGATATAACAATACTTACCTATTCGTCCACGTTGATGTATATGACCAGGCATAATACCTATTTTACATTCTCCAGGCTGCAAAATTAAATCACAGATAGAGGTCTTACATTTAGACAATTACACTCTTTTTGGGAATTTACTTACTGACTGGGACAATATATATGAATATATATATCAGAAAGAATTTCAATGTAGTGTATACAGACTGGTACATACCTTAATAATACCAGGACAGTTTGGACCTATAAGTCGTGAATTCCCCTGTCGAATAAGTTTATGTTTAACGCGAACCATATCTTGTTGTGGTATACCTTCAGTAATACAGACTATTAAAGGCATTTCGGCATCAATAGCTTCTAGGATAGCGGCAGCAGCAAATGGGGGTGGGACGAAAATTACAGTTGCATCAGCTCCTGTTGCTTCACGAGCCTACAAAAAACAATTAAAAACTGGGCGTTATTTCAAAATTCATTGGTTTCCTCAATAAATAAACAAAATATTAAGGATCCAAACCGCAAAACAGAACACGAAATCCATAACAACATTCTGAAGAAACATTGGTAGCTAATGAACTTTCCACATGAGGAAGTATATCAATCATAAGTGAGTAGGTATTTCATAATTAGTGGCATCAAGCGTCTAGAAGAGTTAGCATGCCTGGTGTCACACCCATCATAGCTGCTTAACATACACAAGACACACTACAAATAGGAACGCGCCAAATGAAGAAATAGCCACTTGATGCGAATTTAAAAAGTTCAAGGGACCTAACTGAAGAAAATATATTTCTCCAATTTCAAATAGTCAAGGGAGGGAACTTATCACAATAATTTTTTAATTATGACAAGAAAAAACGTTGCAAACAACGGAATCCATGCGGAAGCACTTAACATCATTTGATGACCAATTTCACTCATCACTGATGATCTTGAATAAGCTATCTTCACTTTGAATTCCAGTTGACCCAGCCGTAAATAGGGTACTGATAATCCAAGAAAAATCAATGTCAAGAGGTTTGAGTTTGACAAATGATCAACTGTAACAAAGTATTCTAATGAACCTAAGTTGTTTCATTGCAAAATATAGTTGTTTCTTTCTTTCCTTTACCCACCTCTTTTACATTATTAAAGACGGGTTGTCCAAGATGAACTGAGCCTCCTTTTCCAGGTGATACCCCGCCTACCAGTCTCGTTCCATAATCTATAGCTTGTTGACTGTGAAATGTGCCCTGAAATATCACAAACATGAAATTAACATCTGTGTTGATATAATATTGATTTTGCCATTTAGATTTGAGCTTTCATATTCTAGAATTTATGTGTCATTGATGCCCTTCTTCCAGTGTCTACTGAGTTTAAATGTTTGTTCCTGTGAATTTAGTTAAATTTTCACATTTAAAGTCACATTTCCATACCAGCTGGCATAAATCATTTCATTCAAAATATAAGCCTTTCAATAGTGCTGGTTATTGAAAACTAGGTACAATACATAATGCAATACACAGTCATAATGGATAATGGTTAAATTAATTCATAACTTTATATCTGTGATATCTGGTAATGTAGTTGACAATGAGTGGTTAATGTCCACCATAAATGTCAACAATTTCAGTCAAGTTAGTGAAGATTCCTTTCACCAACATAAAAAAATTGATAATTTTTTATCCGATTGAGAGGTATCGTTGAGTCTCGATACATGGCCTCTTGATATGTATATCGTGCCATGTCGTATCGCGACACATCAATTCAACAATATATCGTGCCTACCTTTTAGATTTAAAAATATAAAACTTTTGTGAATCATGTTCATACATACTTGTTTTCCAGTGAAGCCTTGACAAATAACTTTGGTGTTTTTATTGATGGCTAAATTCTTTCTGGATTGGGTATAAACATTCCTTACTGAACCAGATGCTCTTGAAAATCCTCCTGAAAAATACAAATTTAAGCACACTGTATCATACCAGGGTTTGACAAACTGACAATTGACATACTACTTACTGTATTGGGACACTTTTGAAAGGATTCACTGGCAGTTCTTATTTACCCCACTATAAAATTGATCTGCACTCCCACTTTATATTTAACACAACTAAAAATATGATTTTTTTATGTTTTTTGCCCCAAAAGATGTGCCAGAATGCACCTTATCAATTCAATTCACCATCTCAGGTGCCTCCAAAGAGTTGCCACATTTTGGGGGCTGGTGCCGACACTGAATGAGTTAAAAAAAAAAAAGGGGGGGGGGGCACATGCATGTTATAGAACCTCCTTTGGAATGTGAAAATGGTTTTTTTTTAATAAATTCGTTCACTATCATGTGGCCTAAATCTTATAGATTAGATAGGTCTATCCTTACGATTGAGCATTACAGATTAACAATACACATTTTTAATTCAAAAAATAACCAACAGCCATGAACTAGCCATATAACGTTATATTGTAAACTTGGTTGCTACAGAAAGATAGCCTACAGCCTACAGCCTACAGTAACCACCCAACTTGTGATTTTTGTTAATGGTCTCAAGAATCAAGAAAAGATAACTTTTGGAATGAGATGTTTTCAATGAATGACGGGTAAATTGCATTTTAATGAAGGTAGATGTGACGTTTTAGATGTTACGCAGACGTAAAGCAAGTATAGCTGCACAAATTCACACTATGACAATAAATATTGTTATAGATTAATCTATATTTAAGCCGATTATTACCAGTTAACCTCGTCAAGACCTTGCAGGTAGCCGCCATCTTGCTTCGTCTGCAGGATGAAGGTTGCATTTTTTAACCAATCAAATCACTGGAAAATTCGTCATGGCGGACAGGAAGAGATAAATATTTATTTATCTTAGAAATTTTTTATTGTCATTTTCATGGACTAAAATAGAAGATTTACAGACGTAATTTTGTCATAAGAATCCGATTATTTCGAATGAATTAATCGACAGGTATAAGAATAGTAGTTTTACTCAAAATTCCACAGAAATGAAGTGTTTTTTCGATGATTTATGTTTTGGTGTCTGTGAAATGTCGACATACCCACCAACCAATTAACTTAATGGATTACTGCTGACCACTCGTCTTAATCTTGGTTTATATTAGTCATGAGAAAAATATTTTCATATATTATCATGGGCTTATTTGCCACTGAAGTATCATAATCAGTGGTAAACCATGATCTTTAGTTTGTGCCCTTGGCCTGCTTTCTGAATACACTGTTTACAGTTTACTGAACTGAATTTTGGCAATCATTTTCAAGAGAAAAATATTTTCATATATTATCATGGGCTTATTTGCCACTGAAGTATCATAATCAGTGGTAAACCATGATCTTTAGTTTGTGCCCTTGGCCTGCTTTCTGAATACACTGTTTACAGTTTACTGAACTGAATTTTGGCAATCATTTTCATAGGAATTCAGAATTGAAATATTAATTTCTTCGATTGACTAACAGTTGAGGAAAATGTTAACCAATGGTAAGGTTATTATTTGTAAACATAATATTACAGAGGGGAATTTTCTTGGGTGGGAGGGAAGTGTATCTATTTTAAATGTAAAATCACTGAGCCGAAGACAATCTAAGACAAATGATATACGAATGAAAAGTTTATTTTGAAAATATATGAAATGGGGAGGAAAATTCAATTCAAATCTCAATATAGTCAGAAAGCAGTACCTGGCCATTAAGTTATAATTTTAGTTAAGTCAATTCAATTCAATTTATTGTTAGAAAAGAAATTGATTTATCAATATTGATATTCTCCGTAATATTGTTAATCATTTCATCTAATAAGTTACCGTACCTTTGATAAGTAAAAATTATTGTGAAATAGTTGTTTTAAAAGCCAATTTTTGAGTTCACTATATTGCTCTATACTTATTTTGTAGATAGTAAGCTTATATCGTCAGATATCGGTAGAAAAACTGGTTGATTTCCAGCTGTAAGCTTAGGCCTACAAGTTTTTGGTGTACAGTATCTAGATACAAACCATACAACAACAATGATGAATATGGATGCCATTACATCTCTGCCATCCAATCAATGTATTAAGATTTTTATACAGAGAGATTTCTCTGAAGGTACAGCTGTCAAATTTCAAAATAAATTCCCACCAGAACTTAGAGGAAAGGTAAGCTTTGAAATCCTGTTTATGACACCCAGCCATTACTTTACAAAACTTTTACCCAGTTGAATAGTAACTTGTAATTTTCTATCATTCTAATCTCTACACATTGACAAATTTACAACTGGAGATTGTCTTTTGAAGAGACAGGTCTTGCTGTTTTAAGAGAGTTGTTGAAATAATTTCTTTAAGCGAAGATAACTTTAACTAAGGCAGAAAACCTGAAAATGGGGAGAATGAAGATCACTAGCCACTGTTACTGACTAAAGTTTAAGAAAATCCAGAAATTATTTACATTGTCTTTTAAATTTATATGATATTGCCTCACTCGTGACATGAAATCCACGAAGTTAGTATGTTGTGGTTGAATTTCCTTCATTGCACACCATATGGTGTTCTTTTTTCATTATTCCCATCTCAGTCATGAAAAATTGGTACATGTTACTCATTCTATTAGGTATACATTCCAATTAGTAATGGAATCGTTTTATATAAAACTCATATTCCTATTTGTTGCTATTTTCAGGTTGAAGAATCACAGTTCCAGTCAACTATTAACACGATCAATGAAATCTATGGGGAGGCAGAGAGCTTATCGATGAGAACATATTGTGAAAGTTGTTTTGCCTGTCTGACAGCCTACTTAGCTTATCTCTGTATGGATACTTATTATGAAAAGGTAAATGGAAGCACATGGGAGAGGGGTGACATAGGCTACAATAAGCCAATAAGTTGTTTATATGTTTATCATAAATATTGTTTATACTTATATAAATAAATAAAAGCTCAGGTATCTGAAGTTTCAACAATATAACTATGAAATGCTGATACAGTGAGTTATTAATGTTGACAAACCTTCTTGCTCGACAGCATATTTTAGTTGTATCATTAAAAAATCTGATACTGTGATAATAGAAAGAGGGGTAAATTATATTCATGCAAACTTTTACATACTTCTTTGACAATTGGAGAACGTACAAAAACAACATGCATAAGAAAACAGAAAGTACATTTACATCATACATCATATTAAATGATTTACTACAGACATCATGATAAATGAGTTACTAGTACTACACACATCCTAATAAATGATTTACTACGAACATCATATTAATGATTTTCTACAGACATCCTGATAAATGATTTACTACAGACATCGTTTTAAGTGATATGCATGTACTACAAACATCATACTAAATGATTTACTAAAGACATCATATTGAATAATATACTGCAAACATCATATATTGCTGTTGTTAATATGGACATCTAGGGTTCAATGTCTGATGCAGGTCAGAGCTTCTGACATGGCTACAAGATTTGCACGTAAAATTTAACAGTTTAGAATTGAAAATACTGCATGGTATTCCCTGTCTTCATCAGGCCAATCTGGTTTGAATAAGTAGTAATTAAACTCTATTCTGTTTCATTTTATTTCAGTGTTTAAAGAAAGTTAAGAGATATATAGAAGATCAAAATAAAACTATTTATGTACCACATGGTATTATGTTGGTTGATCCAGTAGAACGAGGCTTGAGAACTGTATCCTTTTAACATTACAAAATATTGTCACTGTTAAAATAGTGATCAATACATCAGTTGTAGAGAGATATAGAAATACCACTTTTAAAATAGTGTTTAATACATCAGTTGTAGAGAGATATAGAAATACCACTGTTAAAATAGTGTTTAATATATCAATTGTAGAGCGATATAGAAATACCACTGTTAAAATAGTGCTCAATATATCAATTGTAGAGCGATATAGAAATACCACTGTTAAAATAGTGCTCAATATATCAATTGTAGAGCGATACAGAAATACCACTGTTAAAATAGTGCTCCATACATCAATTGTAGAGCAATACAGAAATACCACTGTTAAAATAGTGCTCAATACATCAATTGTAGAGCGATATAGAAATACCACTGTTAAAATAGTATTCAATACATCAATTATAGAGCGATATAGAAATACCACTGTTAAAATAGTGCTCCATACATCAATTGTAGAGCAATACAGAAATACCACTGTTAAAATAGTGCTCAATACATCAATTGTAGAGCAATACAGAAATACCACTGTTAAAATAGTGCTCAATACATCAATTGTAGAGCGATATAGAAATACTACTGTTAAAATAGTGCTCAATACATCAATTGTAGAGCAATACAGAAATACTACTGTTAAAATAGTGCTCAATACATCAATTATAGAGTGATATAGAAATAGTTCCATGCTGTGTGATTTACAATCAGCTGGACTATTTCAGCTTTATGTCTGTACTCGCCTGAAGATTGCATAGTGTGAAACTCAAAGTAGCAACAGTCGGGTTCTGTTATATATTCTTCACAACACTATCAATTTCTTTCACTCTCTCACAGAATACCAGAGGAGAGGGCAGAAATTTGATTGGTTACAGCAAGGTTAGGTCAAAAGGATGAATGTTTTAGAGGCCTGTCTTTAGACCCTAACTAAGTGGCTATATTAAAAATAAAACCTAGTAAACAACAGAATGTAAGTTTGGTCTAAATCAAATAAAATGGTTAGAAAATTTATTATCTGAGTCTTAAATAGGAGGTTTGTATGCTAAAATAAAACATGGTAGAAATATGATATAGTTTCAGACATTGTGGAGAGAATTACTGGTATGAATGTAATTGTTTTGATTTTCCTTGACCAGGGTTTTAGCTGGAGGTGTGTTTACTGAACGAAGCCAACCATCGGTGATCAGTCTTACAAACTCTCTGCTTTTTTAAATATTGTCATTGTTGTCATCATATTTTCAGCTTGGATTCATTTTCATTTTAATATCCTTACTTCCATTGGCCTGGAAGTTGTTCAACACAGTGTAGTGTATCAATCTTTTGAATGACTGTGTCAAACAGATATGAAGCCAATTTAATAGTTGAAATTGTGAAATATTATCAATCAGAGTTTAAAAAATGAAGGTTTACATCTTATCTGGCAGGTATTAGGCAATTTTGTACATTGAGATATCTGTGTGTTAGTCATATTGTTGACTGACTGATTTGTCAATTATTCAGCTGATCTGCTAATTATAGGATAGGGAATGAGATATTGATATAGAAGCAATCGTCAGTGAAATTGATGTTATAAATCTCTGACATAAGGAACAGTATTTTACTTGGATAACAACTTAGGCTCACAATGATCCTTTCTCCTCTTGGCAATAAATTTATAAGGATCAGGTGATCATTAGACTTGATCTTTCCCTGATTAATTGAAACAATTTGCTTAAAAGGATTGTAAAGAGGTTTTCTAAAATGTTGATGTGTATCAGAGACACTGGTAGCTTCAATTTGTACCATTCCAATTTGCAATCAGTTGTCTGTGGTGCCTCAAATTAAGTGTTTGATGACGTCACTAATTGCAAAATATCCATAAGGCCCTTGGATTAGTGATTACAAAATTTAGACAAAACCTCTTTACAACCCAATAAATTAGATACACAAAATGAAACCAAAGTGAAGCTAATTTGAGTTTAGAATGAAGGTTATTGTTTTGAAAGAAAGAATGGAAGCTAAGTGTAATTATTGTTTTAACTTATTTTATGAACAACAAAAACGATGAGTCATCCTTGTTGAGAGAATGACTGACCACTGTGAAGTAAGACTATTATGTTATATGTTTGTTTGTCACAAGTTTTTACATTGTCAGATATAAAAGAAGGCGAAATCCAGGCCAAGTTATTTTGATAATTTCCATGAATATTGACCAATATTACTTGATGTTTATTATATTATTATTGTATAAATAGGTATGATGTAGCTTAGATCATCTTCACAATGTCAAGCAATTACAAACTAGGTCTTCTACTTTGACATCATTAGACACTTTTACTGTATCATAGAAGTTTGTATGCAGCAATTTGATTGGATTGTACGCCAGCAAATACAGCCAATCAAAGTTCTCCACATAAACAATTGTAATTGAGGGTTTAGATAGGCTATACTAGCAAGCGTACAATCCAATGTTAAGAGGGGCATAGATTGTACTTGTGCTTTGATATGGAAATTTTTTTAACAAAAAAGGATAAATTAATGTCAAAAAGGGAGATAATTCTTTTCTGTATCTGGTGCATAGTCCCCTCTAACAATATTAAAGGGACATGTTCGCCATTTTTTGGACCAATCACACCTTTGTTTCAGAAACTGGAATATTTTAGCTAAACCTGTAGCCAATCAGTAATAGTGTTCGCAGCTCACTGTCGAAATTTAAGTCATATATAGAAAAGACATCTATAGAAATAAGAAATGAAATAGTTTGTGATATTTTTGAAGAAATTATGCGATTTTCGTACATATCTAGTACTTCTAAAGACTATTTACATATTCAAGATTAAAATCAACCTCCCAAAATGGCGCATTTGTCCCTTTAAGACAATGAAATCCTTATAGTCAATTTGACATAATGATTGTTATGACAACTAGACCAGAAACAGATTTGTTGTCAAGCTTCATCCCAAAGTGATGATGAACTTTAAATTAAGATCATGAAATTTGATGGTATTGTTAATTTTTGTAAGTGTAATTTATAATGTACCATATTTATATATATATATGTATATTGTGTTAAGTGATATGACATATTGCTTATATATAGTCAAGTAATAGCACACGTTTTACTTTACAATAATTGTCAAAGGTACAGTAACCAAGACTAGCTCTAATGACTTCTTTCTCACTGTTCATTTGTACATAGATGGCACTCTAAGCCATTCCAATTCTTTTGTTCTTAAATCTAGACTCCCAGTCTGATAAAAATGCGAACTTAAATATTAGTTTCTTGTTTATTCTACAGGTGACTCTACTTGCCATCTATGATCTGACAGCATTGTAATACATCTCATGTTCTTGGTAACATATGATTTAACCAATCACTGTAAGAGTTCCTTACTTGTGAATGTATTATGGGCCAACTTTAAATATAATAAACTTAAATGACTGTACATGAACTGAACGTAACTCCGCTAGGTATCAACGAATAAATCGAACTAGCTACCTTCACAGGCCAACTTTATTTCACTAAAAAATAATTTTGTTAGATCAAGTTACTTGCCGAAATAGCCTGAAGTCAACACCCAGGTTTGCATTTCAGTCAGATTGGACTATCCCCCACGTTTCTTAAAAGATGGGTTTTCTTATTTTTTTAGTGTCAAATTAAGGAAACTATTTGATTTATTGGTGTTTCTAATGAATTATCATGTATTCTTAATCATATCATTATGTCCTTATTGCATATAATTAAAAGTTTTAACCAACCATAAATGTCCCTGTACGTACAGTCTGGATAAACTTAAAAAAGACTTTTTAACTTTTCTTGATCGATCACACATTTGAATTTTGCTGGTAATTCTCTTCTAATTAAGCTAATTATGAATTAATTATAGACATGTGAGACAAACTGGTATTTTTCCAAGTCATTAGAACACCTCTAGATTGTATTCTTTTAAGCATCAGCATTTTCATTTTCTTACCGTAAATGAAAATAAGGGAACCCATCTTTAATATAATCTATATAATATAAATAATATCTACCGTTGATAAAGGAACATGACTATCCCCTTGGCAAATCTTTTTCTCAACCAATTAACTTTACCAATCAATGTCTTTTTTTGTTACATGTTTTTTTTAAAATAAAATTCATCATGAAATTAATTTTGAAGTCTCAATTTTATTTTAGAAGTTTTCATCACCCTAATAATGCCATGCTGGGGCTAAGCAAAGTGAAATAATAAAACGCTCAGTGAAAGCTATGTTTAAAAACTAGGAAGATATTCTTGAATTTTTAGCATCGTCAATAGAGATGTCCTTTCACATGCTTAGTACATAATAATATTACTTCTGGAAAATAATGAAGAATTTGGAGGCCTCATAATATTAGGAAAGCAGTCATCTAAGTGTTTGTGGTCTGATAATTAAACAAAATTTTTCTTACCTCCCTTTAGTAAGGTCGCTGAATCATTCCTAACATGACCAAATATTAGTTTGAAGTAACGTGAAATATTTTGAATGGTAACTACGATAACAATCCCAGTAGGCTACGTAACTCCGTAGCTATAAGGCGAGAAATGCACTTTGATCAGTTATATTGTTTTCTAATTAATGCCTGTGTCTTATTTCTTGTCATGCTTCTTCTGCTAAAATATATTTCATGTCAACTGGTACATGACTCAGAGGTTTTTATCTCCAAGACCAAGTTCAGCATTGTTTTTATGAGCTTCAAATTTGATCAAGCTCAAGATTATCAAAGTTACATACCTCTATA